GGGGAGGTGAGTGTGCAGCCCATGGTGATGCCTGGTGAGTGCAGAACCCCGTGTGTGCTCCAAAATGTGCAGAGCACGGGCAAATCACAATGGATAATCCTCTGCAGCCCCCTGACTGCAGCAGGCTGTGCCCACAACCAGGCTGGTGTTCCCACCTTTGCATGTAACAGCTCTTCCTGATGTTTTGATCCAGGAATTCTTCATATTTTTAATGAGTTTCTGTAGCTTTAACATATCCCACCTGTAGTAAGCTGAAGAATTCTTGTTCACTTAATCACTTGTACAGAAATCTCTGTTTGAGATGGAGTGAGCAGGACTCCTTGTAACAGTCAAAATGTTGACACACTGCAGCTTTATCTAGTGGATTTTCATTTTTCATTTGTTTTTTACAGTAATGCCTGTTTGGTTTTTGACTGCTTTGGGTGATTCAACAGTGGTTTCCATAAAACTCCCCACCGTGTCTCCAAGCTCTTTCCTGTTCATTAACTGCTCACCTAGTGCTCATCCCTGTGCAAAATACCTGGATATATTTTTTCATATTTGCATATCTTAATATCCTGTATCACTCCATCACTCAGCATGAGATCCTTTACTAGACAGTTTTAATATTTACCAGCTTGGATTTTTATGTGTTACTGAAGAGTTCAGTCATTTCACCATCCCTCTCATTTTCCATGTGGTTTGTGAATATTTGGACAACACAGTTTACCTTGGGACTGTGCTGGTGAGTTCATTGTAAGGGATGCCCTGCTTTCTTCTCTTTTTAGTCCTGAAGATCATAGAACCATGGAATGGTTTGTATTGGAATGATCTTAAAGCCCATCTCGTCCCACTCCCTGCCATGGGCAGGGACATCTCAGGCTGCTCCAAGCCCCGTCCAGCCTGGCCTTGGGCACTGCCAGGGATCCAAGGGCAGCCACAGCTGCTCTGGGCACCCTGTGCCAGGGTCTGCCCACCCTCCCAGGGGACAATTCCTTCCCAATATCCCATCCATCCCTGCCCTCTGGCAGTGGAAAGCTATTCCCCCTTGTTCTGTTGCTTCAGGCCCAGGTCCAAAGTCCTTTTCCCTGGGCAGTACTGCGCAATATTCCATCGTCTTCCATACCCTTGACCTTGCAGAAGAACAGAAGAGACACCAGAGTCTGGCATTCATGGAACTACCTTTAGTCCCACACTCACTGACTGCTTTGAGGAGCCCTGTGGCTCTGTGAACCATCCTTTTCCTTTTCCAAAGCTCTGTTAGTTCTTCCCTTCTCTTCATTAATCTGTTTTTTTTTAACCTGGCTTTTCTTTTGGCAGGGAAGTCGGCATTATCAATCTGCCATTCCCTGCATTGCTCTTGACTCCTTTAAATGCATTTTGGTATTTGCTGCCTGCAGTTCTTCTGGGATTGTAGTCAATGTAGTGAAGAGTTCAGTCCAGGATTTTTCTCAAGCCCTTTGGTGAACACTCTCCTGTCCTGTTCTCTTCCTGTCTTTTCCATATCAATCCTATTGGTTGGTTAAACCATTTCTCCTGCCGCTGCAGATCAGATCAAATTTTGATTCCTCTCCCATGAAGAAAGCGTGGGAAGTGCTCTGAGTTCCCTTACAGAGAAAATAAGGATTTTCTCCGAGTCCTTTTTCAGCCCTTCTCCCTCAGGACTCCTTGGTGAACAGAAAGGAGAACAGAAATGTTTAAAGTCTCCCTGGGGAGGAAAAAAAAAAATAGCACAAATAATCTCTTTTCTATGGGCATGGTTGATTCAGTGAGAACTAATAGGCTCAGGCTGGAGCAAAACTGACTCCAGTGAGGCACTGCAATACACTTTCTGATGTGGAGGAGAAGGGAGTCCTGCAGTGAGTGAGGAGTCTCCCTTTTTGGAGGTCTTGAAAACAGGTTCAGCAAGTGTCTCAGAGGAATGTTTTAGGTCTGTCTGATCCTGCCTTCAGGCAGCAAAGTGGGCTAGATGACCTGTCAGGGTCACCTTTTTTCCTCCTGTTTTGTACATGAAGTTCCCAAGTGGGAATTGTGCACCTCTCCATGTTTCTGCTGCTCAGTGCAACCTGTGATTCATGCTGGTGTGAACTTCAGTATTTTAGGAGTAGTACTCTGGACAGAAAAGGTAGAAAATAAAGAGAAGCCATAAGGTAAGGGAACAAGAAACCAAAAAGGTGGTATCAAGAAGATAGGGATGAGGAGGAGCTCTGTGTCTTCTCAGAAGATGTGACAGGTGGGATGTGGTGACAGAGACAGATGGAGTGACAAAGCCGGGGATCACAGGTTGGCAGTGTCTTACCAGGGCCAGGGTGTGGACAGAGCTGCCGGGCTGAATTATCTAAAAGTGGGTCCAAACCCTGCCAGCTGATCCCAGCCCACCACTAGGATCCCGGGAGCACAGGGGCAGGCAGGGATTGTCCTGGGAGAAGGATCTGGCAGAACAGCAATGTGTAGAACACCAGGGAGCCCTAGCTGGAACAGCAAAATAATCACAGAGGTCCCTCTGATGACTGGGAGCCCCTGGGCACTGTTGGAACAGGAGTGTGGTGGGATTTAGGCAGGATGTATGAAACCTCTCTGATTTTGGGTATGAACATACCCCCTCTCTCTAGCAATGGGATTTTGTTATCTCCTAGATCAGATAAGGGTTTGTAAGGAGCTGTTGTCCTGTGGCGGTGGCAGTCGGTACTACAGAAGTGCCCAGCCTGGCAGAGAGGGGGATGCCATGCCTGGGAGCCCATCTGCAGCCACAGACCCAGGAGGGAGCAAGGGATCCTGACTCTGCAGCTGCAGCCACGCATGGGGCACGCATGGAGTCCTCTGCACTGAGAAATCTCATAATATTTGTTTTTCCACATCATCCTTAGATTATTTTTCAAGTCTGCTCTTGTCCTGTGAGCACAGTGTGCAGCCAGGATCCCTCACTCATAGTACCAGGGACAGGGCAGTGGGAATGCCAGGAAATGCTGTTGAAGGATGTAGAAAGTAAGAGTCATGTCTTGCTGCTGTGCTGCTGCTGGAGTTGACTGTACAGTGACAAACAGGAGAAGGAGCTGAGGGGAGGAGAGGAAAGAGGTCTCTGGAGCAGAGATGAGTGGAGTGTGTGGCTGTGGCAGATGGTGCCTGTGTCCCCAAGCTGCCCCTGGGCATTGCAGGGTGCTGAGAAGGCTTCTGGGCCCAGCCTCCAGCCTGATCATGTCTGTGAGGGACCCAGCACAGAATAATGAGAGTCCATTACTCTGCCTCAGCTCCATGGATAGATGCCCTTGTGGGAAGGGTCTCAGGTGTAGGTACCAGCAGGTCTTCTCCAGATTTATCATCTGGGTCTTGCTCCAGAGCAGCTGCCAGCATTTTCCATAAGTTCCCCATGCACATTTGGAGGTGCAGCAGCTTGGCCCATTGTTCATATTCCTGGTGTTCATCGTTAATCATGGAATGGCCTGGGTTGGAACAGACCTTAAAGCTCATCTTGTTCCACCCCCTGCCATGGGCAGGGACACCTTCCACTGTCCCAGGTTGTTCCAAGCCCCATCCAGCCTGGCCTTGGACACTTCTGGGATCCAGGGGCAGGCACAGCTTCTCTGAGCACCCTGTGCTAGGCCCCCTCACCCTAATGCTGGCATCAGGCCCAGCAATCCTGGTCACAGAGAGGCTGCTCTGAGCTCAGCACACAGGACTGTCACTGCCCTGTGAGTGTCACAGCCAGGGTTGGACACAGCTCCGAGGTTCTTCTCAGCTCCCCCAGCTCCAGGAGCAGCCCGGGGAAGGCTCCAGTCAGGTCCCTCTGAGCTGTTGGAGCTATCCTGAGACACACTCTGTATTTCCTGTTTGGTGTTTTTCTGTGGCTGTGACAAGCACATATTAACCCAAAGCCATGATCACATCTTAAGCCCACGTCCCAGCCAGGCAAGCAGAGCACAAAGTGGTGCCGTTCTGGGTGAATCCAGCGGGATCACGGGCACTTGGATGCCGTGTCGGTGTTGGTCAAGGCAGCACCTGTCGGTGCTCCGACGGAACAGGGGCTTTTTGGGAGCTTCCCTGACTGCTCCAAGCCATAACAGATCCAATTGCTTCCCTAAAAACCTGGATTTATAGAGTTTGTGGTGCTTGGGTTGGTACAATTGCACTCTATCTGATGTCCTGTAGTGAAGTCTAAGTTGTAGCATCGCAGAATGGTTTGGGTTGGAAGGGACCTTAAAGATCATCCAGTTGTCCCCACTGCTATGGGCAGGGACATCTTCTACTAGACCAGTGTTTTGACAAAAGGATACAAACTTTTACTTTTAAATATTTCAAATTTCAGTGAAATCCTTTGCTTTTACTTTGGTTTTAAGCAGCTCCAGAAATGATTAGGAGTTGGATACAAACTCACAGCCACAGACATTTGTACTAGGCATTAGCATAAGTTGGTCTCGATGCTATCACCCTAGGATTTGATAATTTTAACTTACTTTCATAGTTTTGTTAGACCTATTCTTGTTTTGATGCCCAAGACTTGGTGCTGCCAAAAGCAGCTCTGTGGCTTTGTGGTGCCTCCCAACCCTGCAGTGCTGGGTGCTTGTGGATGTGGGATTGGTGCTGAGTTATATCACTGCACAGGCAGCAGAAAGCCTCCCCATGACTGGCAGCAGCATTCCTGGCATTTTTCTAATGGGTATAACCCTGGTATTGAGGGGGTTGTCTGCCAGCCACCTTCCTGGGAATCCCAGTGCCGGGGGTTCAGTGGAGCACAGCAGGAGGCCATAGAACTGTGGTCTCCAGCTCCAGAGTCCAGCCAGGCTCTGGGGAGTGGTTGGAGTGCCTGGGGTGACACCCAGCTTCGGCAATGAGTGTTCTTTTGTGTCTTTCAAGGCCTCAGTGGCTCGGGCAGGGCCATGGGATGTAGCAGTGTTATGGTGGCACCCGGCAGGTGGGGGTCCTGCACCTCTGGGCAGGTCCAGAGGGTTTTGCAGGGTGGGCTTGAGCCCCCTTTGCAGTGCTGAGCCCCAGGATCTGAGTTTCTCCTTGCTTTTGTTCTGCAGTCCCACCCACTATCCCTGTGCAACACCAGCGAGGATGAACACACGGAATCGGGATTCATCACCATCGTCAAGCTGGAACAGCCGGATCGGGATCCCAACCCCTGCCTGTCCCTGGCCAACAAGGTAAGTGCAAAAATGCCTGAAATGGCATCAGCCTGGGAAGTGAAACCTGTGGTGCAGCAAAGGAAAGGGGAGGAGGAGGCAGCAAGGAAAGAGCTGTTGGGAAGTAGAGAAAAGGACAAGGACAGATCAGGGTCTTTGGCAGAGGCAGTCCTTGGTAGAAGGGGTCCTTTGGGAGAGATGCTGTGCCAGCCATCCCAAACACCCATCCCTTGACCTTTTGGACTGCCTGACTTTGTAAAAGGTGTGGAGTTCCCTCTAGCCTGGCAGCTCTGGGTTGGTCAGACCTTACCCAGCATCCCACACTCTTTGCTGCCTAATAGCCTTGTGCCTCTCCTGTTTTACAGCCTTACGTTGCTTTCTGGTCTGTGTGATTTGTGTTTCTCTGTGTTCTCTGGCCTGTGGGAAAACATGGACACAGAGAACATCTTCCGTGGCTCTGTTTCCAACAATAATGCTGCAATATTTCCCTGGATGAGGCACAGGAGAGTCAGTGCTGAGCAGTGAGATAAATGCAGACCAGCTGAACTAGTGGTGGGTCACGACTTGTTAACAGTTCATGCCCTGGGAGATCTCAGAGGTCTTTGGATCAGGCACCTCAGTGAAACAGCACTTCCTATGCCAAAAGCTGAGGTCAGTGGTCCAATTCTCTGGTAATAAGGAAGTCAGGTAGGAACAAGGGTCATTTTAAGGCTTAAAATCTTTGTGATTCTGATTAACTTGCATGGATAAGGATGACATTGTTTTTTTCTTTTGATTGTCTCTCTACCAAGCGTTGGCTATTTTCATGCTTGTGCAAGTGTTGTACAAGCATGAAAATCCCCTTGTTCAACTCTTCTTGGCTTTACTTGGATTGCCTTCAGGTCATTTCACCCTGTTGCCTTCCTGCTGGTGGTGACGTGGTGGGGATGGGGACAGGGTCCTTTTCCCTGTTCCCTACAGCTCAGCTGAAGAAGGCAGGCAAAACTTGTACCCAGTGTTTGCTCCGGCACAACAGGGTTTTTTCATGGAGGCTGTGGCATCAAAAGTAAGGAAATGTGATGCCATGGTGGATTTGCCATCCCAGGGCTGGTTCCCCCTGGCTAGAAAGACAGCAGTACCTATCCTTTACTGGGTTGCCCAGCCCAAATTTGGGATGCTGCTGCTCTGGAGCTGGTGCCAGATGTTGGCATGAGCCAGTGTGATGGAGTTGGCAACCTGCTGTCAGTTCCCCCACACCTGGAGAATGGCCTGGGCCCACCTGAGCAGCTTGTGATAGACATGAGGAAAAGGGCTGGGCAGGTGCCTCCAGCTCTGCCATGTCCATCCAGATGTGAGGGTCACATGGTGGTGGTACCAGGATGCCCCAGGATGTTTGGGCAGTGCAGCTGCTGTGGAGGATCACGAACAAGAGGACGAAGCAGCTGCAAAGGCCCGTCTTCCATTTCAGAACGTTAAAAGGTTTCAAAACTTAGGCCATGTTGGATGAAACTTGGAGCAATCTGGTCTAGTGGAAGGTGTTCCTGGCTGTAACAGGGTGGAATGAGATGAGCTTTAAGGTCCCTTGTAGCCCAGACCATTCTGGGATTCTGTTTTGCTAGTTTTGTCCTTCATCTTTGAGACTCTGATCACAGCACTGAAAGTACCAGTGTGTTATTGAGTCCAAGGATCAGCTGAGGAAGGTTGGCACGGGGTGGGACAAGACATGGTGCATTGCTGCACTCTGCTCTTCCACCTGGATCCCTTCTCCAGGACTCCTAAACCCCCCAAAGCAAACAAACCCTCAGCTCCCCTGGTACACTGAGTTCACTGGCCATGAGTCATCACTACTACTCTGTTACCAGAGCCAGATCCAGCACTGGATTTTGATATCCAGCTGTTGCAGTCCTGCAGGTGTTCCTGCTCTAAAATCTCACCAAGGGAGGCTCACAGTTCTTCTCCCATGAACAGGAGTAGTTTAGTCATGAAATAGAGCAGATGCTCCTTAAGCTGGCAACATCCCCGGGCCCTGCCTTGTATCATGGATCCTCCATCCCCTGCAGTTCCTCCCTGTCTGCTTCTCCAAACTCCTGAAGCCTCTGCCAAGCTCCCTCCCTCTAACATTGTACGGATCAGAGAATCACAAACTGGTTGGGACTGGAAGGGACCTTAAAAGATCATTGCGTCCTGAGCTGCTGCCATGGGAAGGGATGCGGAGGTCTCTTCCTCAAAATCCCAGGACCACACTCCTCCTCTGGAGTAGGGGTGTAGCTGTGGGATTTGGCTGGTGCTGAGTGGAGCTGGAACCTTGTTTTCCTGGCAAGTGTGTCTTGGGGCAGAGCTTTGCATGTGGAATTGCAGGGCTGTATCAATGATGATAAAAATAGCCATGTGCAGAGTGCTATCACAACCTCTGCTTCAGCTGTCACCCAGCCAAGCCCTGCACACGGACAACCCTGGCCAGCCCAACACGAGGAGAACTCCACCAGTGACCTGAGGCATTTCCCTGCTTCCTAAATTCTGTCACTGCTTCAGCTTCCAAAGCTAAAACAAACAGGGAAAGCATTAGAGGAGAGGAAGGCATGGGAAGGACCTCTGGAATCAATTCAAAGTGATTTATTGTTCTTTCTGATCATAATTTGTAAATTTTTGGGGGGGCTTTTTTTTTATTTCCGAGTGAACCTGTGATTGCAAGCCTGGTTGTCAGACTGCTGAGACCTCCAAAATCATCCTGTAAATACCTATTTGCACCAGAGGGAGCTCAGCTGTGCCACATGGCTGAAGAGATACAGTGCAAACACAGCTAACACTGAGAAAATTACTGTATCAAGCAAATTGTGAAAGGCTTGAACAGAATTACAGAGTATCTTGAGTTGGAAAGGAACCCCAAGGATCATCCAGTCCAGCCCCTGGTCCTGCACAGACACCCCCCCCAGCAATCCCACCCTGGGGCATCCATGGGAGCTCCTGGAGCTCTGGCAGCCTCAGGGCTGTGCCCATTCCCTGGGGAGCCTGGGCAGTGCCCAGCACCCTCTGGGGGAAGAACATTTCCTGATCTCCACCCTAAACCTCTGTGGCACAGCTCCAGCTGTTCCCTGGGCCCTGTCCCTGGTCACCATTTGTATCCTTTGCAACAGGAGTCAGAAAGATGTTGGGAAAAGTCACTTGTCCAGTCTCAGTTGTTCATTGCCCCATAGTCAGTGTCTTTAGCAGGATAAAATCAATGTAGAGCTGTTTGTTGTTCATCAAAGACTGACTATTGGATGGAATTCACTCCCTGAAAGTCCTCTTCCCCTGAAAGTGCCAGCAAATACTGGGGTTCCATCGATCCTAGTCAGGACCCAGTCTCTGATCCCTGTCTCGAGCCTTGATCCCACTTTTCCAGCTTCCCTATGAGTGTTAAATCCTGTCAGCAGCTCAGAGCCTCCACCTCTGCCTGTTGCTGACCATGTGCAGCTCCATTCCCACACGTGTACCCAGACCCAGGCCCCCCAGTGCTCCTCGCCGAGGTGACCCGGGAGCAGGGATGGAGCTGGTGCCCCCCGGCCGTTCCGGGAATGCCGCATCCCTTGGCCCGGCCGGCTCCCGGCGCCTGAGAGCGCGGCTGGGGGCGGGCAGTGCCCCACGGCCCCCCGCCGGCTTTGGCTATGCTGCTCCTGTTTGCTTGGGATCAAAGGGCTCCGCCTGAGCTACCGGCCCAGCCCAGCCCAGCCCAGCTCACCTTCCATCTCCCGGGGCTGCCTCTGCCTGCCGGGAGGGCTCCAGGGGCTGCCTGGGAGGAGGTGGGTGACCCTCGAGCTCCTGGCTGCTTACCTCATCAGGGTGGCATGTGTGCTCGGCTGGGTGGGTCTCTGAGCTGTCCCTTCCCTCTGGGAAAGCCACCGAACTGAGCAGACCCGGCTCCACCTGAGCTTCTCCCTAATGAGCAGGGGGAACCAGGGAGAGCAGCGTGAGTGGGAGTCAGGTCCTCTGACAGCCCTGGTGCTGCCAGGTGACAGGGGACCTGTGGGAGTTTCTGCTGTCCGTGGAGGTCAGCAGGGCTAACGGGGCTGCACATCCCTCCCCAGCAAATCCAGCTTTGAAATAAGGGAGCAGCTGGCAGGTGGACAGCTGGGGAATTGTTAGATTTGTGTTTTGCTGTGGCTGCAACTCCACCAAGTAGTTCACCTCTACAACTTTAGGAAGAAACCACCCGTGAGCTGCAGAGCTCTGGTAAGTGTAGGCACTGCAGCTCAACACAAGTCAGGAACTGAGGTAGGAACGGTTTCCTCAGTCCAAACAGGTGCTTCTTTCTCCTGGGAAGAGCCCAGGAGGCAGACATGGATCCAATGGCAGGTGTGGACACAGGGTACAGTACAAAATGTCCACTGAAGCTTCTGTTGTTTTGGACAGGCAAAGCTGGCAGGGGAGCGTGGAGCCCGTGCGATCCTTTTTGATATCACCGATGATGAAAGTGCTGCTGATCAGGTACAGACCCCAGTGATACCCTCAGCTAAAACACAGTGCTCCTGTCTCATCCTGAAATGTGCTCAGGGCAGGACCCCCTAGGCACCAGTGGGAGGTCCCAGGATGCTGCTGGTGTTGGGTGTTGGCTCTTACCCTACACAGACACTTTCCATGGCACATCCACGCTCTTAAAAGACATTGTCTGGACAATCAAACTTTTCTGCGAGGAGCTGGATGTTTCCTCTTGGGAAGTCATAAATTTCCTCATCTCACATAGTCCAGACAGCCCAATGTACCTCAGGAAAGGTGATTTCTCAAGTTTCCAAGTCAACCTGCTTTTCTGTTGGTGCAGGTTTAACCTTGGTTAGGACACCTCCAAAGGTCCCTTTCCCCAGCACTGTTGTCATCTCTGGAAGGGAATCAATTCCCCATCCAGATAATCCAGGGATATCCAGCTTTAGGTAGGGAACAGACAGGGGAGCTGGTGCCTGACCTCATCCAAGCTCTGGGCTGACTCCTTGCTGGATCCATCCCTTGTGGCTCTTTCATGCACTTACATCTTAATTTCTGGTGCCAGAGAAACACAGCAGCAAAAGCAGGTCCATGAGGTGATGCCGATGTTGCTCAGATCCCAGTCTCTGATCCCTACCCCGGGCCTTGGCTCCCACTTTTCCAGCTTTCCCATTTGGTACACAAAAGCAAAGAGCATCAAATCCTATCAACAACTCAGAGCTTCGGCCTTGCCTTCATGGTCTTCTTACCATCTGCACCTCTGTTCACATCTCCATCCCTGTCCACCGACCTTTGGATTCCCCCAGCGGAAGGGAAGGGGTTACTGGGTCTGATGGCCACCCTGATCCAGGTCAGTCTGGAGGAGAGCAGACACTTGCTGAGCCAGCCTGTGCCATGCTGCCTGGACCACAGTGGAAAACTGCCAGTGTGACAAGCAGAACAAGCAGAATGTCCTTAGGGAGGAGGGGAACTGGATGGGTCCAGAGCAGAGGAAGCATTTCTCTGGTGAAGGCAGCACTTGGCAGTGCTGTTGGCCCTTTCACAGAGAAGAAGAGGGACCAAGAGCTTTTGCACAGGGGCTTGAAAGGAGCTCAAGAGACACCAAGAAATGGCTGGCTGTGCATGAGGAGTCACCAGCAGGGAAAATAAAGAAATCCATGCTGGAAAATTGATAAAAGAGAAACTTGCATCTGATTAATCATAGAGGGATAGTGTAAACTTGGGGGAGCAGTCAGTCTCTGAAGTGTTGTAAGAAACATCATGAGGAATGGACTTGCCTGGGAGGCCAGGATCATCCTTGTTTCAGGCTGTGCTGGATCAGCCCTTACTGTGTTTGTTTCTTTGCAGCTGAGGAAGCCCAGAGGCCTGAGCCAGCCTGTGGTGCTAATCAGGGGCCATGATGCTGAGCTCCTCATGGGCGTTGTGAACAAGAACAGAGAGGCCCACGTGAAGATAGAGGTCAAGGAGCCACCAGCTTGGGTGAGAGACACATGATTCCCACTGCGTCCTGTATCCTCCCTCCCAACCTGCTAAGTTTTCCCAGAGAGACTGAGCTTTCTTCCTCAGGGATGGAGATCACGGCCTGTTGCAGGAGTCTTTAGCATTCAGACCTGCTGCAAGTAAAGGCTCAAAAGCATTTTCAGCTTACTTAGTTTCTTTTGCTTTAATGTCACAAGTGAGGCAAGGGGATTCTCTGTCTCTTCAAGTAAAACCAAGCCTTGATTTTCTCATTTTGTGCTGCCTTAGACTATGGTCTCAAGGGAGCTGAGATGCTGCAAGACTGAGATATTCTATTCTTGTATGGATGTGCAGAAAAGACTGAACTGTTTTTAATTTTACCTGTAAAGAACAAAGAGGATGAGCTTGGCCAAGGATGATATTTCCCAAGACTGATGGTCCAGAAAAGATGGAGATTCCCCTAGCCTCTAACTCCCACCAAGAGTAATTTCCACACAAGAGTAATTTCTGTCCTGTTTTATCCAACAGCCAGACTACGATGTGTGGATTCTTCTCACAGTGGTCAGCACTGTGGTCGTCATCATTTTGATTTTTGTTGTCCGCACAAAGTGCCAGCTGAACAGGACTCAGGTAGGGATCTCATGGAGCAGATGTGTCTGAGCAAACAGGGAGAAAGGGAAAGCAGGAACAGACACCTTTTGGGAGGGGAAATGGGCAGATAGTGATAGGACAAGGAGAACAGTTGTAAACTAAGAGGAGAGATTTAGATTAGATGTGGGAAGAAATGCTTCCCTATGAGGATGGGGAGGCTGTGGCACAGGGTGCCCAGAGAAGCTGTCGCTGCCCCTGGATCCCTGGAAGTGTCCAGGGCCAGGTTGGATGGGGCTTGGAGCAACCTGGGATAGTGGAAGATGTCCCTGCCCATGGCAGGAGAGTGGAATAAGATGAGCTTTAAGGTCCCTTCTAATCAAAGCCATTCCTTGATTCTATGATTGTATGATTTAGCATTCTTAATAGAAATTAACAAATGAAATAATCATCTTCTCAGAGTCAGATGTATTTCCATATTTGAGACTATCCCATTTGTCCCATAGAGAGACAATAATTTGGGGATCAGAAATTCAGCACTGCTGAGTTATTTGAATATCTAGGGCCAGATGTCTCCTGCTGGTGACAAAGCCTACTTTGGCTGAGTCAGCTTAGACAGAAAGTCACCTCTGCAGATAGGTATCATCCCCAAATTTCTGATAATTCCATTTTGAATATGGGAGGGCAGAGTAAGGCTGAGCCTCTCCTCAAGCCCCGTGTGTCTCTGCAGGACTCGGTGCAGCAGCAGACCCTGCAGGCCATCGGGCAGCTGGCCACACGCCGCTACCAGCCCCGGGCACGGCCGGCCCCGCGCTGGGACTCGGCCAGCAGCTGCAGCTCCGCCCCGGTCTGTGCCATCTGCCTCGAGGAGTTCAGCGAGGGGCAGGTAGGGTTTGGGCAGGACTGCTGTACTCATGGCTCTGGCTTCCCTGGTGGGGGGGGTCAACAGTGGGAGCTGAGAATGGCAGGAGCCTGTGAGATGCTTCCTTCTGAGCTCCTGAGTGCTGGAAAGGGATTGCATCCATGGAGGTGTGCCTGCCCCTGGGCTATAAAGCCTCTGTTGAAGTCATGTCTCCAGGCAGGTCTCCAGCTGTGGTGTGGGGTAAAATGCCTATGTTGAAATAGGATAAAATTGGGTTTGCTGCTCCATAGCACCCAGCCTGAAATCTTCTTATTCCCAAGGGCTTGCACCACTCTGGATGTTCACAGAGCAGGACTGGAGGTGCTCCACAGCCTCCTCCATGCACAGCTGGGCTGCAGATCCCTCACTGTTAGATGTCTGTCCATCCTTCAAGGCTCACTTCCATCAAGAAGGACCCATCCAGGTCTTGGAACATGGTTCGCCTTGCTCATCCTCCTCCTCTCCACTTCTTTCTAGGAACTGCGGATCATCTCGTGCTCCCACGAGTTCCATCGGGAGTGTGTTGACCCTTGGCTGCAGCAACACCACACGTGTCCACTTTGCATGTTCAATATTCTTGGTAGGGCTCAGACACGGCATTTCCTGGCTGAGGACAGGATTGGGTGCAGGATTGTGCCCAGGAGCTCCAGTTACTCTTGGGAGATGGATCAGCAGGTCCTCATGTCCCTGTGCACAGAGTGGACAGGGGACTGTGTGCATGGAGAGGAGTCCCTTGCCTGTCAGCCCACCAGGGTACAGCAAGGTGCTGGGCTTGAGCTGGGACCTGCACCAAGAAGAGGGATTCCAATCCTGAGATCTGTGGGGAAGGGAAGGTGGGATCTGGGGGTTGCAGGGGCAGCAAGGAGAGTGTGCAGGACCTTCAGGGTGGTTTGGTGGTGGCAGTGAGGAGTTGCAGAGTATGGATGGGACGTGGGGCCATGCATGTTGGGAGGGCAGTGGAGCATCAGTGCTGGGGTTGCTGCAGCTGGGCTGTGGGACATGTGCTGGGTACTCCCTTCTGGGCTGCGGGATATGTGCCGCATACTTCCTTTTTTCTCCACAGCCAGAGACTCGGGGGACCAGGCCATGGCTGCCAGCTCCAGGCTGGTCCCTCAGGACATGGAGCCGGGGCGGCGACTCCACCTTTTCCGCCAGCATCCAGGACATGCCCTTTACCACCTCCCACAAGCATATCCTCAGAGGAACCTCAGGAGCTTTCCCCCAGAGTCAGCCCATGGCAACCCCTTCTTCCACTCTCCAGAGCTCTCCCAGTTGGATTTTGGCACCATCCACTACATGCCCTACAGACCAGCCACCTCCCTACTGGCCTGTGGCCACATGGCCCCGCTCACCCCAGGCTTGCTGGGGCAGCAGCACCCCAACCCCTCTGCATGCAGGCAGGTGCTGGCACCACACAGGACGTGTCCCCTTCAGCCTCAGCCCCCCTGTGTGGCACCCAAGGCAGTCGTGGCACAGAAGCAGCACCGTGTGCCCACCCTGCGCCGAGGGCTTGGCCACGGGCTCCAGCACAACAGCAGTGGCTCTGGGGAGAGCTATCTCACGGAGCATAGCGGGTACCTGGCTGACGGGCCCGGCAGCGACTCCAGCTCGGGGCCCTGCCATGGCTCCTCCAGTGACTCCATGTTGAACTGCACGGACGTCAGCCTGCAGGGCATCCATGGCAGCTGCTCCACGTTCCGCAGCTCCCTCAGCAGCGACTATGATCCCTTTGTGTACTGCAGCTCCGAGGGCCCCACCACGGACCACGGTCAGGAGCAGCTGCGGCTGCCCAGGGAGAGGCGGCCTCGGTCCTTGGACCTGATGGTGCCCCAGGGGGCTGCTCTGGCCAAGCCCCGGGTGCTCAGCCACATCCACTACCACCACCACCAGCACCACCACTACAGGCAGGACGCGGAATGTCCCCCTGGGCGAGCCGGGCAGGGGCCTGGGCCACGCAAATCCCGGTATTCCGGGGCCAAGGTTGCCTTCCACAGTGCTCGGACACAAAAGAGAACTGAGAAAAGCCATCACTCTCAGCAGCCTCTGGAAAGCAGTGCCGTGCTGCAGGAGGCAGCTGCAGCAGGCCAGCCAGCCTGTCCCCAGGAAGGCCAGGAGCCCCCTCACACCCCCTCCACTTCTTCAAACAGGCTGGACTTCAGTGTAGATGCCAACAGACAATTGGGAGCTGTCCCGCTGTCCCCCAGACACAGCTTACAGAGCAGGCATCACCGAAGGAAAAGAAAGTGTCCCCTGGAGCTCGACCCTGCTCTCCTGGCCAAGGACTCAGCTGAGCCTGGAGCCTGCAACACTCACTTTCCTCCTGGCCATCCCACTGGCTACCGCTGCTCTCCTGAAGCCCAGCCCCTGATCCCAAGCGCTCCCCTGCCCAGCAGCTCCCAGCCGCTCTGGAAATGTTTAGTGCCACAGTCCAGCTCCGAGCTGAGGAAGCAGGAGGAGGGGTTGTCAGGACAGGAGAGAAACCGCTCAGTTCCTGCGGATTTCTCAGGGACGTGCACCCCCAGGCACAGTCTGAGTGTCCGCCTTCACTGCCCATCTCAGCAGGGTGGTCAGGGTAAGTCTGGTCTTCGCCTCTACTGGCAGCAAGCAGGTGAATGAGGAGGAGGTTTGCTGAAGGAAATCCAGCTGCCAGGACACCTGGTACCTTCCTGATGGGTTTTCCTACAGGAGCACTGACTGCAGGAGCCTTCCAGAGCTCACCTGTGAGGGTGGTGGCCTGAATGATGAGCAAGTGTGTTAAAGAGTGCACCAAACCCTGAAATACTACAACTGAGAAATAAGGTGGCTAATTTTAATTAAATATCACTAGCAGCTGGAATATCTCCCAAAGGAAGGGGTGGGACCACATTTTTCAGTGTCCTTACACCAGTCTTGGGTGTCTTACTGGCAGAGTCATTATCATTAAGGCTTTTTGGGCTCCAGTTGTTTTAGCCAAGCCCAGCTAACTGGAATCAGTGAGAAAGGAAGTGTGTGTGGCCCGGGGTAGTAGAACAGACTAATTGAGTTGCTCGATTTGCACATCCCTCATTTCTCACCTGCCTCTGTTGCGTGGGAGTTGCTTTTTAGTGTCTTTTGGAAATCAGATGTAATTAAAGTTTGGCCTTCTGCCTAACTGCTGCGCTCTCTCACAAAGAGAGGGAAAATGCCTTTGAGACGAGTGTCTTTGAAAGAACCTGAGTTTAGCTCCCAGGTCTTGCTCTCTCAGGTCCTCTGAAGGCAGCAACCTGCAAGTCAGCAGGGACAGGTGCTGGCTGGGAGCAGAGCCTGGCTCCCTTCCTCGCCCTGCCACTGACTCATTGCAGGTCCTCGGGCAAATCCTTTTGATTTAGGTCCCAAACACAGATCTGGCTGTCTAATTTCTGTTATAACACTGGCCTTAAACTTGTGACTCACTGTGCCCATTGTGCCACAGAGATAATAACTTCCTCCCAGTGCTTGTCTATCTAGCCCCACCCCACGCCCAGGCTCCTGGTTCTGCGGAGGCAGTGAGGCTGGGGAGGCTGGATGGGCATGGTCTGGCTCCCTGCAGCTTTCTGGCCTCCCAGACTCCCAGGAACAGATATTTTTCCCAGGTGCAGAAGTGCCTGACACTGCAGATAGGTGATAGGGAGGTTCTCCCAAGGCCTGGAGGGATGCTGGTGTTTGGAGAGATAAGGAGTCATCAGGGCAGAGATGTCTCTGGTTGCAGGGAGCTCTGAGTGCCGATGCCCTCCCAGGGTACCCCACATGGAGAGAGCCCTCCTGGCTCAGGGCAGGTTGCTCAGGGCTTGCTTCGAGCTCCCAATGAACCGGGGAGGCTTCAAGAGCAGGAGTCTGTGCACATAACATTGGGCATTGCAAGGTCTGTGCTGGGATGTTCTGTGTCATTGGAAATGGTCCCAGTGGCCCCAGTCTGTGCCATCACCTCCTGATGAGCCTCTGACCCCCACCCAGAGCCAGTGCCAGCTGCTTTGCCAAGCACACCAAGCCTTCATTCCCTCTTCACTCCCCATTCCAGCAGGTAGAAGGACCAATGTATCTGAAAGTATGTCTGTTTACTGCAGTAGCTTCTATGGATGCTTTCAGGATCACCCAGAGAGTCAGAATTCCCTTGCAAGATTGAGAGACTACACAGATTCAGGATTTAACTTTATTAAGAGCAGAGGACAGAGCACAGAGCTTGTGCAGGGCTTATGCAGAAAAGCCACCAAGCTGAAAACATTGGTTGACATAACCTCTGAATTATAATCACATTGGTTCTTTATCTTGAGAAAAGTGTAAATCAATAGAGAAGTAAAAACCAGCAAAGAACAATCTCAGTAGACAGTCCCATGCAAGCAGGACACAAACAAGGAGACCAAGGAAAAATGCATCTCTGCCTCCAGATAAATGGCATAAGGCTAAAAATATAAGTGGATGAATTAAAAAGCCCAGCTTTAAATTAAAGTTTTGACATAAACTTCTCAGAAACCCAGTTTAAAAGAAAAACAAACAGTGGGACCCTGTAATTCCTAGATGAAATTACAGAGAGGGAAGCGTGTCTCTCTTCTGGTGGCATGGGAGAGACACTGCACTAAGAGTGTCAAGTCCAGTGACGAGTGACACAAAAATCCCCAGTTGCCCCTGAGCAGGAGGAGGGTGGCATTAGGGTTTATAACACTGTGTCAGCATAGGCTGCAAAGAGGAGCCTACATAGACAGGAGAGTCTTATGAGAATATTGCTAAAATAAGCAGTCAAAAGATGCTTTTGGGCACAGGGATCATGCACAGCCCCAGAAAAGGGCTGGTCAAGCAGCAGGGCAGAGAGGGCACTTGGAAACTGCTGTTTCAAAGCAAAGGTGTGGCTGGAGAAGGAAATCAGAACAGAGCTGGATGCCAAGTGAAGTACAGAGCCATGGAGAGACAGGCCAGGGAATATTGCTGTGAACAGCTTGTGTGAAGCAGACTATTAATGCAAACGTTTTCTGCTGCATTGGAAGGGAGAAGGCTGCCTAGGATTCTTCAGATCTAGGGAGTGACAGAAGTCTGAGGGATGTTCAGGGGCTGTAAGTGCAGAGCAGTAGAGCAAACTGCCTTTATTGCATTAGTGATCACCAGGGGAGTGCTCAGGGAGGTTTTCACCTGGCACAGCTCCATTCAGGGCAGGGGGGGCAGAATCCCTCATGAATCAAATCACCAGTCTGAGCACTTCTGAAATACAGTGGAGAGTAACAAATTGCCAGGGGTACAGATTACCCACTGGGCATCCTGCAGGGATCAAGCACACAGCTGATAAATCCTGAATGTGGACTGCAATCTCTTATCCATGCCCAGACCAAGGAGGAAGAGCTGAGGGCAATATCAGCTGGAAATAGCTGAAGCCACAGAATGATGAGCCTGACTTTCCAGCCAAGCAATTTGTTAAAAATTCAAATACAGGGTCTGACTTGTAGGCACATGGCTGAATGTGAAAACCAGGGGAGGAGGCAACCCAGTTTTTGTAGGGAGAGATAACGCCTGACAGATCTTTTAGGGGAAGGAAGCTCTGAAAGGATAAAAGGGAAGGTGCTCCCACAGGTAAATAACTCACTGAAAAAAGAGACAAGAGTGCAGATCAGACTTAATGGAGGGGAATTACTCAGAGAGGAGAGAAGTGGAGTTCTGCAACCGTATGATCCTTTCAGCAAGCTCATAAATATGCTGGACAAGGAGAGGAGATAGCCAAGTGTATCACATATAAAATCCATCAGGATGTCAAGCATTAAAACTGGATACAGAGTGTTACAGGAGGATCTCCTGCTGCTGAGCTGTTGAGTGAGAGGGTGGTGGATGAAATCCTCTGTAAGTAGCACAAAATGCCACACATGAGCAGAGCCACTTTTAAGTAAAAATCACAACATTATTGTTGTTATTACTATCGTTATCATTAGCTGGCTGAGAACTATGTGGAACAAGCAGAAAGTGCCTTTATGCAGTTGTGTAAGCCTGTGGTGATCTCACAGCTCCTGATCACCAAAAAGGGTGGAAAAAGAAAGGGAAATAATTTCTGCCCCCTTGGAAGCAGGCAGAAATGTATCTGGTACAATCACAGCGATGTTTTTTTCTGAGAAAATAGAAAGAATAGTGAGACTTTCATGTGGGAAAAAAGGTGATCAGCAGAGGATAGGGAAGAGAGGATATGAAATAAGGAGAGCAGAGGAGAAGGCAGACAAGAGAGTACTTAGAACAAAGAAATTGATGGCATCAAATGGAAACCAGAAGCTTTAAAACACCCAAAAGGCAACACAAGGTGTATAATGAAACCTGGTGCTGGTTGCCCCCGGGATGTAGATGCCCGAAGTAAAATGGTTTTGAGAGCCCAGATCAAGAGGTAGCAAATGCAGAGATGCAAATCCACCCTCTGGCTCAGGAAGTTCCTAAACCAGGGCTTCCAGAAGCTGCTGGTGCTCCTGTGGGATGCAGCACCCTCCAGGTGTATGCTAACCTCACCCAGCTGCTAGGTGAGGCTGAATCTTGGTCCACAGCCCCTGGAGATTGCCATGCACTGGCATCCCAGGGAATAACGCTGTGGATGACCCTAAAGAGCCTTGCATGATCTTGGAGTTTATGCCTCTTCCTTGAGCACCTCCATCAGCCCTTCTTGGTGGGCTTTGCATAAAGGTGGATCCCTTACTCTTCTGTTGCCTGGAGAGACCACACCTGGGAGTCTTGTCCCTGGAGAATCAATCCTGGAGCAATGCTGATGGATCCTCTTAAAGGAAGACAGACAGCTGGCAGTGAATTCCAGCTGGATGGCTTCCTGAACTGCCCCGGCACACCTGGGAAGCATCCCAGAACAGCCACATTACTCCAGCACAGGCTGATGAAATCTCCTGATTTCTCTCCCTGTGAAAGCTCACCTCCTGCAGTGCTCTCCATATCCTCCCCGTCTCCTCCTTCCTGCTCATCCTGAGTCCCTTTTCCTGCCACATCTTGTAACCTTACTAGGGAGGGGGAAAGGGATTAGAGGGCAAAAAAAGACCACCCTTAAAACCTAACACCCAAAGAACATGATTTCTGTGGTGTCATGATGGTGTGCTCCAGGTCGTTGCCCTGCCATGGCCAGTCCACCAGCCAAGGTTCTCTGACCTGTCCCAGTTCATGATCTTTTCTTAGCCGGAGCAAGGGACACTTATGCAGGCACAGCTTTCAGAAAATCTTTTAGTAATGCTATTTGAGACTGAAGGCATGTGAAGGCAGAGGGCTTGAAGCTGGACAATCTCTTCTTGGGTTGCACATAAGCTGGTGACAAGGAAAGCAGTTGGAAATGGCTTATTCCACATACTTGTGACTCAAGGCACAAATGTAAGAGATGCTTAAACTCCGTCTTCAGGTACTGTGGCCATGCTTGCACGTGTGTGTACATGTATAACATCATGTGCATTCATTTTCCTACATTGATTAGCTACACTTTTCCAAGCAGAATCTCATTTGTTTGTTTTCTTCCCACATATTTAATTTCAAGGCTCTGCTCCTACAGCTGGAGCAGATATATAGATGATATATAACCAACAAGAATTTGTTGTGACTGTTCTGAAAAGCTGTTTTGAATTGCCCTCGATGAATCTCTAAGAGGGCATTTCTTTCCTTTGATCTCAGAAACATTCAGGAAAAGGGAGATAGGAAAAATAATGCCTGTATGCCTTTGCTGGGCTATGCTGACCTTGTCTAAGAGTTCTGGGCAGGCTTGAGAGACATCTGGGAAGGGACTTTGGTGTGTGTGACAGCAGGCAGTGACTTAGAGAGAAAGCGGCTGTCTGGAGCAGTGACTTGGGTGCACCTTTTTAGGCAGCCCTTTTGTTGGATGTTTCCAAGTAAACTGCTCAGCACCTGCCTATCAATTCTCCAGGCAGAAGGGGCTGGCAAGAGCCTGGGCCTGAGCTGGGCTCAGAAGCAATTTGTGCAACCTCTCGCACACTGTGGAACGTGTGTCATTCCTGTCTTGCATCAGTGCTCTCTGCTCTTACTGCCTGGAGTTTCTGTTGCCCCCTGGCTCTGTGAGATATGAATTGGTGTTATTTTCTGTTCCTAATAATTTTTGAATCAGCAGTACAGATTTTCACAAAGGGCAAACATAAAAAAGCCTCAAAAACAAACACCTTGTTGTGATGTGAATCCTAGGATGCCCTTAGCCTGCCTCCTCTGAAATATATAAGGAGCAGCTTGATGTCTTAAGATTTTATTGTACTTCACCTTAGAGGAATAAACTGGCTGGGAGGTGGCCAGAAAATTCCCTCTGAAAAACTGAGAGAAACTTCCTAGAATCATGCAATATTCTGAATTGGAAGGGATCCACAAGGATTATCCAGTCCAGTCCCTGGCCCTGCCCAGGACACTACAACAATCCCAGCCCGTGCATCCCTGGGAGCATTGTTCAAACACTCCTGCTCTGGCAGCCTCAGGGCTGGGACCATTCCCTGGGGAGCCTGTTCCAGTGGCTTAGTGGCTTTTTTAGTAGCTTCCACTTAGTGGTTTTTCCTGCAGCATCTGCTCTCTGGATTGCAGGGTCAAGGCCCCAGCCGCTGCAGAGCCTGGGAATGTTCAGCCAGGTGTAGCTGACACTCTTCTTTCTCCTTTTCTTTGAATGCAGAATCTGAAGAGGAGGTCCAGGATGTCCATGAACACTCAGTTTAATAAAACACTGGCCTGTTTGCTCGCTGGGAGTTGGAGTGGACACAGATGTTGATGGAGCTGCTCACATGTGGCTCTGCCCAGCCCTGCCCTGCTGAGACACAGACTGGCAAGAGCAACGGGCCACTCGTGGTCTCCTGACATGTCCCCACGGCCCGATGGTGACACAGACAGAGCGCTGCTCTCTGGGCTGTCTCCTCTGGAGGCACAGGCAGCCCCTCGTCATCCCGTGGCACCGCTCCGAGCTGGGCAGGGCTCCCAGGGAGAGCTCACCGAGTGAGTGCAAGCTGCTATTTTGGCGTGTTCATGCCACAGAAGGTTTTGCTAAACACTGCAAAAATAAACAAGCCTTCAAGACCAAAAGCTGCAGAAATTACTTTCTGTGGCCTGGTAGCTCCTGACTTCATTTCCTCACTTAGGTCAAAAGCCAGATTTCTTCAATTAACTTTTCCATGCTTATTTCAGACACAGGAACAAGCTATTCTCCATCTCACCGCTCACAGGGCTGCCCTGCAAGGTGCTGCTTCTGACTTCAGTGGAAACCAAGAGCTCTCATCACTTTTGGTCACCTCAATGTCCCTCAGCTGACACCATCTCAGCCACTGACTGTTTGCCAGCAGCAGGAGAGGGGAAGACACAGGGATGTCAACAGTTCTGGGAAGGAGCTGGGTCAGACTCTTTCCATTGCAAAGAATCCACCCTCTCATCTGGCAATGTGAACAAAGTCTCTCACTCACCCCCTAACTCCTCCACCTACCCTCAAATAGCTCTCATGGCCTGTTAAGAGCATATTTCAAACATATCTTAGATGTCCCCATCACAGGAGTCATACAAAATCCTGGAGTTCATGTGGTTCCTGCTTCTCTCCTTCCTCTCATTGCCCCAAGACACAGCAAAAATTCCCAGCAAAAGCCTCCATAACAAATGCAGAGCAGAGCCCTATCCATCACCCAGCCTTAACTTCATATTCTGAGACTCCTGAAATCCTTCAAAAGGATTTTTCTGTCTTTTCCAACATTTTGATGATGCAGGGATAAAACTTGAGAAGTCATCAGGCTCTAGTTTATTATGTTCCCCCTCCCCCACATTTATGAATATTTTGGGTTTTTCTGAATATCACTAGTTCTTATTTCCTACATCTCATAATTTGCAGACATTCAAGCAAAATGAAACCTGCCAAATTCAAAACATACAGAACCCATGTAGCTTTCAAACAGCAGAGAATTCCTGTCAGGTTCATTGCACTAAATGATCAGTCAGGCCAAAGAATCAGCCAGATTCCCATGTGAAGTGCACGTGTCTGTGGCACCAGGTGCTTCCAAGCACAAGGAAGCATTGGTGAGGGTACAATACTGGAGCTAAAGATAACTCTTAACAATTTGAAACTTGATGTAGGGACAGACTTTCCCATCTGCTCAGTAAAGCTTCCCGTGTCTTCCTTTGAAGCAGCAGCTTCGCAAGAGAGTGTTCTGGTGATGCAGTCCCAGTTCAGGATAATCCTCTGCCTCCCTTTGTTGGTGGGAAAGGTTTTTACAGGGTTTGCTGCCCTTAATCCTCAAAAAAGGCATCTTGGTCCCAGCTGCTAATCAGTCCTGACAGTCAAGTGATCAGCCAATAGCACTGTTTTAAACCCAACATTATTCCCTTGTAGTGCTCATTCCTTGTCTCCTTGTGACCAGGCCCCTGTGGGATCTTTCATTCTAGGGAAGAGCTGAATTTCCTTCATCAAAGAACCCAGCAGAATTACATTCAGACCTTTCCAGGCTCTTGTTTGTCCTACAGGGCAAGCAGAAGACACAAGCTCAGAATTCTCCTGTGCAGGGAAGTCACTCTTTAACTAGAGGAAAAATCCAGGAGTGGGTTTGGATTCACCCCATTTGGCTTCTTGTGCTCCTGGTCTGTGGCTTGTCTGAACCAGGTCCCTGTATCCTTGACCATTCTGGAGGGCTGAGAGGCTTAACAGAGGGGGAAGGTCATGAAGTCAGGGTGCTCCCACTGCTTTTTTTAGGAGTCAGGAAGGCAGAGAACCTCCAGGGATTCATTTCTCTGCTCAAAAGAACAAGTGAAGCTCTAAAGTCCTCTCTTTCCCTCCTTGTCCCTAACAGAAGAGGAGATTCCTGAATTTGTGAGCCACAAGCTGCACCCTCTCCACTCCCTACTGCAGTATTACCAGGCTGCCAGGGCAGCGCCTGCTTCCAGGTGTCTCCCTTGCCCGACCTTATGCTGCTGCTCCTGTTCACGTAGGAAATGCTGGAGTGCAGGTCTGCCTTCGTGGGGGCTCAGGGGGAGGAGAGGGAGGAACTGTCTGGGAACTTGGGTTTGAAAGATCCTCTTCAGTAGATATATGACTGTCCTTGGCTTCCTGGAAGGGAAGAAGCAGTATTTGAGAAAATAGGGAATGGTTCCTCACAGTTCTTTACCTCTTGCTTCTGGGTGATGCTTTTGAGGGCTGTGGGCTCCACCGTGGAGTCTCTCCAGCATTCCTGCAGTGATGCAGAGTTTATTTTCCTTCTTTGCATCCCAAGTCACAGCCAAAAACTGATGGAAGCCAGAGCATCCCAAACTCCCTCTATGAAAACTGAAGGCCCAGTCCTTCTGCTGGGACCCCCTTCCCAAGAGGTCCCACCCCCTGAACTGGGCATATGGTCGGGCTGGCTGGATATCTCCCCTCCTGCACAAATCCCTCAGATCCTTCGGAAATGTGAATATCGCTTCATTTTGTTGTTGCTTTTTATTTCGTTTTTTGTTTTTGTTTTTGTTTTTTGGTTTTTTTGTTTTTTTTTTTTGCTGAGTCTATCTTGGCTCTCGGGGTTTGGGAATAAATTATGACCCAGAAAAAAAAAAAAAGTCCACACACGGGGAAAATAAAAAAGAATACATTTTATATATATGCAAAACTGTGTATTTATGTCCGATAAACACAAAGATGTGTGAATATGATGATGTGCTCAGAAATATATTTATTTACTAATATATTTATCCATGTACTGGTCTGCTGCCTGCGTTTGTTCTTTGTGCGTGGGGCTGTGCTCGGGCCCGGCCCGGCCGTGACAGAAACCCCGCCCGCCGCCCCCACTCGAGCCCGGGGCGGAGCCAGGGCTGGGGCGAGCTCGGAGCCGTTCCCGTTCCTGTTCCGGGCCGGGGCCGGGGCCGCTGCGCAGCCGCAGAATGGAACCGGGCAGCCATGGCCGCCATCTCGCTGGAGACCGTCCCCAAGGACCTGCGGCACCTGCGGGCCTGCCTGCTCTGCTCCCTCGTCAAGGTGGGACCGGGAAGGGAACAGGGACAGGGGCCGGCACAGGGATTGCTCCTCGCCGGCTCCGGACCTTCCTCTGCCCGGCTTAAGCCTTGCAGCCCCTACCGGGCCCTTTTCCCCGGCTCCGGCACTCCCTGTCCCAGCTCCACCACGTCGGCTCCGGCCCCGGCCCCGGCCCTTCCCTGCGCCGGCTATTTCCTCTCGGCCCCGGCCCGAGCCTTTCTGCCCTTCCCGGCCCTTTCCCTGCTTGTTTTGGCCCTCCTTGTCCCGGCCCAGGCCCCCCTCCCCGGCCTGGACCTTCCTAGTGCTTCCCCCGCCGGGTCTGTCCCTCCGACCCCGGCCCGGCCTCCCCTCTCCTGCCCCGGCCCTTCCCCCCCGGGCCTCTCTGCAGCCCCTGGGCGATTCCCGTCCGCTCCGACCGTGGCCCTGAACCCTCCTTCCCGGGCTTCCCTCCCTTTCCCCGGACCCGTGGCTACCCGGCTCCCGGCTGGTCCCGGTCTCCGACACCCGTGTTCCCTTAGACCATCGACCAGTTCGAGTATGATGGCTGTGACAACTGTGAGACGTATCTGCAGATGAAGGGCAACCGCGAGATGGTCTATGACTGCACCAGCTCCTCCTTTGATGGGTGAGTGGGGCTGGGCCCGGCCGCGGTCCCCCGGGGGCCTGGGGACACCCAAGTGGCACTGTGGGGTCACCCAGCCAGGAGACATTCCCTTACTGCCATCCCCCCTGCAGGATCATCACCATGATGAGCCCTGAGGACAGCTGGGTCTCCAAGTGGCAGCGGATCAGTGAGTAATTTGGGAGCTGGAGATCCCTTCTCTACAAACCCTTCTCAGGGGCAGCGGGAACTGCTGCTTGGAGTGGAACTTGGGTTTGGGAACTTGGGAACTTGGAACTGCTAGAAGGAGTTCTGCCCTCCCTGTAAGCGGACATCTGCACAGGTTGAGGATTCCTATGTGGCTGCTCCATGTGGGGTAACTTGGGGTTTTATTTCCTGCAGGTACCTTCAAGCCAGGTGTCTATGCAGTGTCTGTGACCGGCCGCCTGCCCCAAGGTACCTGTGTGGTGGAGTCAGGGTTTGGGGCTCTGAACACTGCATTAGGGAGCATGCCATGTGGGTGATGGGATCAGCAAAAGTGTGATAGGATCAGCAAAGGTGACTGCAAGGAGGTGCTGGACTAGAGAGGGAGTTTTAGGGTTCAGCACTGTACCTGCCAGAAGTTTATATTGTAAGCTGCTGACTAAAGCCTGGCTATCAGAGGCATCAACTTGGATTAATTAGTGATTCTGGAAAGTGGGCATGTCTCAAACCATTCAGCTCCAGGATAACATGGAGTTTTGTTAATAAAAAAGTGTTTTTCAGAATGGGGTGCTGTTGTGGCAATCCCAATGAGCAGACCCCTCCTCCTGCACTAAGTGCTTATGCCATGGTGGATTTCTGTTTTTACAAATGGAGTAGAGGGTGCAGAGGATTTGCTTCATCTCTGGAATGCAGAAAGGGCGTCATCCATCCAGCGAGTTCCTGCCCAATATGTAGTCCCAGAGCAGACTCCTAACCCAGGGGTGAATCCCAAACCCCTGGGGTGAAAGCTATGCCTGTGTCTGGAGCCCCAGGTTTCTTATTTCTAGCTGAGGGCTGCATTGGGAAGGAGCTGGAAACATCATGAGGCCGGAAGCTGAGGCCTTCTGCCACAGCCCAGGCACATCTGAAATACCCAGGGTTAGGGTTTAAATGGGATAT